TTCTCTGACTTATTTTATGTTGGATAATCTCCTCTAAGTCCATCCATGTTGTTGTAAATGGTAAGATTTCATTTATTTTATCCTTTGCCCATTTTTAATTGGATTTTTTTTGGTGTTGAGTTGTATGCACTCTTTATAAATTTTAGATATCAATTTCTTATCAGATGTATCATTGACGAATATCTTCTCTCATTTAGTAGGTTGTATTTTTGTTTTGTTAATCATTTTCTTTGCTATGTGAAAACGTTTTAGTGTGATGTAGTCTCATTTATTTATTTTTGTCTGTTTCCCTTGCCCAAGGAGATATATTACAACAAATATCACTAACATTAATGTCAGAGAGTTTATTATCTATGTTTTCTTCTAAAAATTTTATGGTTTCAGATCTTACATTTAAATCTTTAATCAGTTTTGAGTTTATTCTTTTATATGGTGTAAAAAGGTGGATCAGTTTTATTTTTTTGCATGTATCTGTCGATTTTTCTCAACACCATTTATTGAAGAAACTGTCTTTACCCCATTGTATATTCTTGCCACCTTTGTCATAACTTAAATGACTATATGGCATGGATTAATTTCTGGGCTCTCTATTCTGTTACATTGATCCATGTGTCTGTTTTTATGCCGGTACCATGCTGTTTTGATTACTATAGCCTTGTGGTATAGTTTGATATCAGGTAGTATAATACCTCCAATTTTTTTTTTTTTTTTCTCAAGATTGACATGGCTATTCAGGTTCTTTTTGGTTCCACATAAATTTTAGGATTATTTGTTCTAGTTCTGTCAAAAATGCCATTGGTATTTTGATAGGGCTTTCATTGAATCCAGAGGTTGCTTTGAGTACTATGGACATTTTAACAATATTAATTCTTCCTATCCATGAACACGATATATGCTTCTATTTATTTGTATCTTCTTCAAATTTTTTCTTCAGTGTGTTAGAATTTTTTGAGTACAAGTCTTTTACCACTTTGGTTAAATTTATTCCTAAGTATTTTATTTTTGATGCTATTGTAAATAAGATTGTATTTTTAATTATTCTTTCTGATAGTTTGTTATTAGTGTATAAAACTACAACTGATTACTGATAGTAATTTTGTACTCTGATACTTTACTGAATTAATTTATCATTTCTAATAATTTTTTGGGGGGGTAGAATTTTTATGGATATCTATATATACTATCATGTTATCTATGAATAATAATAGCTTACTTCTTCCTTTCCAGTTCGGATGCCTTTTATTTCTTTTTCTTGTCTGATTGTCGTGACTAAGATTTCCAATACTATGTTAAATAAAAGTGGTGATAGTGGACATCCTTGTCATATTCCTGATTTTAAGGAAAATGATTTTAGCTTTTTACCATTGAATGTAATTAGCTGTGCATTTGTCATATATGGTCTTCATTATGTTGATGTATGTTCCCTCTATTTCCATTTTGCTGAGTTTTTATCATGAATGAATCTTGGATTTTGTCAAATGTTTTTTCTGCATCTATGGACCTGATCATATGATTTTTATCTTTCATTTTGTTAATGTGGTGTATCACGTTAATTGATTTATGGATATTGAACCAACCTTGCATCCCAGGAATAAATCCACTCAATTGTGGTATATTTAGTGTTGAATTTGGTTTTCTAATAATTAATTGAAGATTTTCGCATCTGTGTTCATTAGGGATATTATCCTATATTTTTCAGTTTTTGTAATGTCTTTTTCTGGTTTCAGAATCGGCATAATGTTCTCCTCATAAAAGAAGCTTGGGAGGTTTTATACCTCTTTAATTTTTAGGGATAGTTTTGGAACAATATGTGTTAATTTTTCCTTGCATGTTTAGTAAAATTCATCTGTGAAGCCATCCGTTCCAGGACTTTTGTATGTTGTGAATTTTTTTACTACTGATTCAATTTTGTTTGTAGTAATAAGTCTGTTTAGATTTTCTGTTTCTTCTTGACTCAGACTTGGAAGATTGTATGTTTCTAGGAGTGTATCCATTTCTTCCAGATAGTCTTATTTGTTGGCATATAATTGTAGTATTTCTTATAATCTTTTGTATTTCTGTGATGCCAATTGTCACTTCTCCCTTTCATTTCTGATTTTATTTATTTGGCTCCTCTCTCTTTTTCTGGATAATTTCCTTTAAAGGTTTATCAATTTTGTTTAACTTTTAAAAGAACTAGCTTTTGGTTTCATTGATAATTTGTACTGTTTTTTAGACTTTATTTTATTTCTGTTTTGATCTTTATTATTTAATTCTTTTTATTTACCCTAGGCTTTGTTTGCTCTTTTTCTAGTTCTCTTAAGTGTAAGGTTAGATTGTTTATTCGAGATTATTCTTGTTTTTTGAGGTAAGCTGGTATTGCTATGAACTTCCCTCTTAGGACTGCTTTCGCTGTGTACTATGGATTTTGAGTCATAGTGATTTTATTTTCATTTGTCTCAAAATATATTTTGATTTCTTTTTGATCTCATTTTTAACTTATGCATTGTTTAGTAGTATGCTATTTAGCCTCCATGTGCTTATGTGTTTTTAGTTTTTTTCCTTGTAATTGATTTCTAGTTTTATATCATTGTAATCAGAGAAGATGCTTGATATGACCTTAATCTTTCTAAATTTATTGAGATTTGTTTTGTGGCCTAGCATGTACTCTATCTTGGAAAATATCTCATGTGCTTGAAAAAAAAATGTATATTCTGCTGCTTTGGGGTAAAATGCTCGAAAAATATCAATTAAATTTATCTGGTTTAGTGTGTCATTTAAGGCCACTACTTCGTTGTTGATTTTCTGTCTGGAAGTTCTGTCTGTTGGTGTCAATGTATTGTTAAAGTAACTGTATTACTATGGACTTCTTCCTTTATGTCAGTCAATATTTGCTTTAAATATTTAGGTACTCCTATGTTGGGTGAATATTTACTAAGATTATATCTTCTTGTTGAATTATTTATCATTATGTAATGTCCCACTTTGTCTCTTATTATAGCCTTTATTTTCAAGTTTATTTTGTCTGACACAAGTATTGGCTACCACAGAGTTTTTTTCATTTCCACTTGCATGGGATATCTTTTTCCATCCCCTTATTTTCAGTCTGTGTGACTTTCAATATGAAGTGATTCTCTTGTAGACAGCATGTTTATTTTTTATCCATTCAGTCACCTTATGGCTTTTTATTAGAGAATTTAATCTATTTACTTTTAATGTGATTATTATAGGTACATAGTTTTGCCATTTTATTATTCATATTTTGCCCCTCTCCTCTTTTCTTCTTAAAAGAAGTTCCCTTAACATTTTTTTTATAATATTGGTTTGGTGGTGATGAATTCCTTTAGCTTTTTCTTGTCTGAGAAGCTTTTTATCTCTCTTTCAGTTTTCAGTGATAGCCTGAATAGAATAACCTTGGTTTAAGACCTTGCTTTTCATCACTTTGACTATTCTGCACCAATACCTTCTGGCTTGCAAATTTTCTGTTGCGAAATCAGCCGACAGTCAACTAGCTACCTTTCTCTTGATTTCTTAATAATTCTCTTTTTGTCTTTAATCTTCATTTTAATTATGATGTATCTTGGTGTAGGCTTCTTTAGGTTCAACTTATTTAGAACTCTCAGTGCTTCCTGAACTTGTATATCTATTTATTTTGCCAGATTAAGAAAGTTTTCAGTCGTTATCTTTGTTCAAATGAGTTCTCAATACCTTGCTCTTTGACGATAGATCTTAAAAGTTTTCATGCAAAAAAAAAAATATTTAACATATATAGTGATGGATGTTAACTAGATTTATTGTGGTGATCATTTTGCAAATATTAAATCATTATGCTGTGCACCTAACATTAATATAATGTTGTTAATCAATTATACCTCAATGGAAAAAGAAAAATAATTTTTCATCTTCTTTTTGTTTGTCTGTCTGTTTGTTTGTTTGTTTTGAAAAAAGCCAGCGTAAAGCACTTTTACTGTAATAATAAAAATTGAAATCATATGTAGTGCATGAAGTGGGAGGTAGACAGCAATAATTTCTCTCACCAAATCACTACACAGGACAGCAAAGGAGTGGGAGGGGAGAAGGAAAAGCCAGGAGCGGGATGAGCGGAGGTGGCTAAGCATCAAAAACCAAGAGATGCTGAAGATATGATGACCAGCATCATTTTCTTAAGACAATATTCAAGGATTTGTCATAATAACTGGGCTTTCATTGGGTGTTAAGTTTCTATAAACAGTACCTTCAATTTAAACTTTCAATTAAAATTCTTAAAATTTAGTAAGTGGAGCCTGGCTAGTTATGAGATTATAAAAGTCCTGACTATCCATTAGAAAAACCATAGACTGGGAGGCAGAAAAAGCCAGGCCACGAAGAAGGCTTCAGATGTCCTGGCTGGCCCTGGAACAGATACCTGTAGTGTCCAACATTACAGTGAAAATGACTTGCTTTTAAAAGGCAGAGAGTTTAAGGGGAGAATGAGAAGGGGCCCAGGAAGCAAGGGCTCTCCCCATTCTTACTTCAGTTTTGAGTAGGGCTCTTAATTCAACCCAAGGACATCTCTCAACTTGGAGAGTAATGCAGCCTTCAATAGCACATCAAATCTGCTATGGCTTTGCAGCACAACAGAAAGAATGTTTAATATATAATAAATAAAAAAATTCATCCCCAAAATAAAATAAAATAAAGATTCTTGCATTCTCCCACACCAATTCCTAGTCTAAAGTTATTCCATTACTTGTATTGTTAATACTTGACTAATATTTAATTGGAAACTTAGACCCAAATGACTAAAACTGAATCTTCATCCCAAAATGAAAACTAAATAAAATGTGTACTTGAGGTTTGTGGCATATAGTTTAGGTCAACATAAACACGAGGATAAGGAGAAGAGCAAAACTGGGTGACAGAACACATTCAGTCGGGGTAGTTGTTTATGCAAAGAGTGTATTGGAATATCAGGCAAAGCTCCCTACGAATTCACATGCGCACATCTGGGGTCGCCAGATCCTGCCATGGCACATCCAAGAACAGGGAGCTCGGAGAGGAGGCCATTCCTATCATTCCAGTTTTCGAAGCTCCACGTCAAAGATGAGAGTGGCATTTGGTGGGATGATGCCTGGGTGCCCAGTGGCACCATAGGCATAGTCTGGGGAGATGGTAAGTTTGGCTCTCTGACTCACACTCATCTGGGCAATCCTTTCTTCCCAGCCTCGAATCACCTGTTTGCCTAGCATAAACTTAAAGAGCTTGTTTCTGTCCCAGGAGGAATCTAATTTATTTCCATCTTCAAGCATCCCAATGTAGTGTATCACGCAGGTCTGGCCATGCTTCGAGAAGGTGAGCCGGTCCCTGGGAGAGATGGTCTCCACCTGCACTCCCATGGCGGTGGCGGCGGACGCGGGGCAGGCAGGTGGTGCGATGGGCAGCATGGACCAAGATCGGACCTGGAGGTGGTTCCGTGGCTCTTCATTTTGTTTTTTAATGTAAAAAAAGTGTATTCATTTGAATGATAAAATCGCAGTTAAGTAACATGATGACACAATTATACGGGAGCATTTTAAGAGAATGAGGTTACTATTTCTTGTAAAGGAAAACGTTTTGTTTTTTTGTTTTTTGTTTTTGTTTTTGTTTTTTAGGAGAAGTCTAATAATTTACAACTTAACTATTTTAAAAAGTATTGGAAACATTACAAAAATCAGGGAGCAATTTAATACTACAGTTGACATGTTTACCTCTTAGTATTGCCTTATGAAAAAAAAAAAAAAAAGAAAAGTTTGGTATGTTAAATCGTCTTATAAAGACCTTTGTCCTAAAATTATTCTCTCATAAAAAATGCTTTAAGCAAGTTGCCTGTAATGCAACATTTAAGCATTAAATTAAAGGTCAAGAATAAGTTAATGAGAGTCATGTGAAGTTAAAAATCCCTTCATCCCGGCAGACCAATTGTCTCTTCCTCCAACTCTGCTTATTGTTCCTAACCGTGGTTCTATAAATATCTTTCGAATAACATTAATTCATGTTCCTCTATTGCTTTTCAACTGTATTTAGCAGCAGAACAGTTCTAGAAATCATACTATAACTCTCAGGAGAACTTATAAAATGATAATTTAAGAAATGTTATTTCACAATACCATTCCCTTTTCTATCATTATGCTCTTTCTCTAAGCATCTTGATTTCCTTCACCTTGAAGGATTAACCATAGAACTCTGTGTTTATCCATCAGAAGTAATGAGATAATACTGAAAAGGGTATGGGGGATGGAGTCAGAGATTCTGCAAGTAGAACCTTGGGGAAGTCATTATATCTTTATAGCATCTATGTCAACCTTGCAACCTAGTGAATGTCCAATGAGATACATGAAAGGCTTTGTAAAGTAGAAAAATGTTATTAAAAAAAAAAACTTGTGACTATTCTACTTCTTAGTGCTCTTTTACAACCATCTGTTCACAGCATTGACATCCTGTAGCTTCCTAACTTGGGAGTCCTAGGCCTTGACCTTCCCCACAGCGATTTACTTCTCTAGGGTCCCAACTCAGTTCTCATGTTACCTTATCATTGGCACAAACACAGCTCAATTATCTTTTGAGTTATTTGATCCTACAGAGATTAGGAAGACCTATCCACATAAGATTTTTGAGGGGTTGAGTTTTTAGCTGCCTTCAGGTTACAGAATGGAATGATGTTATTTATTTCACAACACTCTATAACCTCTATGAATTCTACTTTGGGCCTACCTAATTAAGTTTGTGTAGTTCTTTCTAATTCTTGATTGCATTTAATCTTAACATTCTTTTACTGGGTCATTTTGCATTCTTTTAAACTATTTAGAATAACAAATCTTAGACTTATACAAATTCTTTCAATTTATAGCCATTCTACTGATAACTATAATGATATGTGTCTCCTATTCCCAATCAGAAAGCCGAAACTTCAGTTAAAACAAAAGAGGTTACTTTGTTTACTTAGGAAAAACAAGTACTTTTATCTATACTTAGTGTACATTATGAAACTGAGAACTTTACGTAGAAAAGATTGTAATATAAAATATGCAGAGTCTCATATTTTTAGAAAATCAAATGATGCGTGACACTAATCATGCTCTAACAAACAGCTGCCCATGGATTTAAAGTAGGATATTTTATAATTTTGTAAGCTTTGTTAAAATATAGATTCAAGCAATAGTTTTCAGCCATTCTCTGAAGATTGTTGGCATTATACAGGTTCAAGTTAATGCTTTAGAATATATGTTTATATTTCTAAATACATATGTATATGTTTTTAAATACATATGTTGAAATGTTTGTTTCCAATAAATGGAAAATGTGAGAGAGAGAAATAACATTTACTGAAAGCCTACTTTTTGCCATGTTTTATACTACTTTTATTTCATGAATTTAATTAAAACAACAGCAAATCTGAGAAGTAGATGTTATTAAATACCCATTTTCTCGATAAAAATTAAACATATTACTTAAATCACATAGTTTGTGCACTCATGGCAAACCTCAGTTCACCTTTTCCAAATTCATTTTTTCATTATTCTAGATTATGCTACTTCCTGGAAACACATAAAAGAAATACATACATATGCTTTGAAATAAATATTATTCTTTTAAAACTTGCTAAGACATTAGTTTGAAATTCACAAATTCTAGCTTTTATAGCAAAATAATAAAGTTTGGATATTGTCAAACCATATGATATACTCTATTCTCTTCACCTTTTACTGGTAATTAAGATTGAAGTACAGAAGTTGTCAGATACAATTACAGTGACACATTTTAGAGTAAATATTAGAAGTATAGTTTTTGTAAGGTAAAGATTGCAGGTTAATCTTCCAAACAGAAGTAGTTGGCAACTGTGCAGCTGAATTATTTATCTAGTCTTGGTACTAGCTATAGAATATGAGAAGCACGTCATGTGCACTGTAGAATTTCAGTTATTATGTTTCAGTAAGGAATGTAGTTGAATAAGTTGCTCTTTATTCTGATTCATGTCTGAAAAGTTATTTGAAAAGTGAAAGAAAAGTGTGTTGATTGATTCCACATTATTATTGATACTGTTATTATTCAGACATATTCACACAAGAAAAATATCTTGATCAATCATGCAATAATGAAAATTGCAATTCACCTTGTCTAAGTTTTAAATTTTGAATTATGATCTCCAAATCTGACTACTTTAATATTTATTTTATAAATTGAAATTAAAACTCTCTAACTTTTAAAAGTTTAAAAGAATAAGTTTAGGTTAAAAGACAATGTGAACTCAGAACAATTGAAGATCAAGGCCAAGGCCAGAAGATCCCTAAAGTCCCTTACACCTTTCTCATTTTAATCCTAGGATAAATGACAGCCTTTCCTTCTTCTGAGTATATGCAACACATAACCTTTACATGTAAAAGCTCTGAAGATTTTAATTTTACATATTCTGCTGTACTAAGAATCAAAGAAAACAAAACAAACAAAAAAAATGTTTCTTTTAAAATTTGCAAAGCCTGAATCAAGAACTCCATATCTTATTTGGCTTTCATAACGTACACTGCTGGTTAACTGATGGCTGATTAGTCACAGCTCCATTTTGGAGAGACCACATCCTCTGTTCATAGTGATTCTTGATAATACTGAAGACTGAATGAACTCAGACAAAAAAGCACCAAAATTGGTCCCAGTTTCTGGAGTCCAAAACAGCAGTCATACTCACCATGGCAATATAGGGCACTAGGACATTAGCAAACTCTAATATGTCTTCCCGTGCAAAAACAAAAGAATGATTTATAATTTGGACAAGGAGCTAACCTGTAGAGTGTGTGGGGTTGCTTCTATCTTCCCTGTAATCTTAACCCCTTGAAATGACTTCTTTACTTTTCCTTCAGGTCAGTAGTGCAGAATTGCATGCAATGGAAACTCACATTATTTCTTTTTCTGCTAGCCTCATTAGTTCAGTCCATCATTATTATACACTCCATTTGAAGATAAAGCACAGAGCATTTACCTAGAGCTCCACCTAAGCTGTGGCATAGCCAGACGTTCCTCCCAATAGTACTCAAATATTTTGGCTCTATAAATGACAGAGAACAGATGTATATACTATGAATTGATACAAAGACATGTGCTATCGTCACCTAGAGAAAGGGAGTGGAGTGAGCCCAAATGAACAAGTGAACTTACTTTGAAACCTTTAATGAATAGCATACTCCTCTTCATTGTGGGTGGCAAACTGGTCTGACAAACTTTGCTTAGCATTCAGTGTAGTTTTTAACATTAAAGCAGAAAGACACAATGACATTTCTAAGTTCACCAACACTCAACATTCACAGGTAAACTGTAAGAATTGCAACAAAAGGAGAGAGGGTGTAAAGAGCATAACTATGCACATAGATTCTGATAAATGTCACCCTACTTCCTCTTGTTATGCTCTAACTAGCGGGTCTTTGAATAATGTGAGAAAAGGAGGGAGTGGGTTTGCAAAAAACTCTTATTGAGTTTTGAAGGTGATATTTTGCAACCCTGGCAATAAAATTGTGTGTTATAAGTTTTTGAGACAAACACCTTATTTAAAATGGAATATAATAAAAAATGATGATAAAAAAAGCTCAGGAAAATCACTGATATGCCCGTAGCAATCTACTACAAAGTTAGCAGATCTCTGTCAAGTTTGCACTCTCTTTTATTATTTCTCTCTCTGTTCATTTTTATTAACTCTTGTTTATTCTCAGAAAATAGATTTATGAAGGTGATTATGGTCAGACATAGGAGTGAGTTCTCTAACCTCAATAATTACATTTTATTGATTTAAGTTAGATAATTATATTCTGAAAAAAGACATTTAATAGCATTAACATTTTCATAGTTCGTCTCATATTTCATTAGTATGAATTTCACACTGCCATTAATAGTCACTTTATTTTGAAAGGGCATATTTTCCAAATGTCTTTATTTTTGCCTGGAGAAATAAGGTTAGCAATGGCATATTGCCATATAGCTAGTTAGTTGCTTCATCTTTAGCTGTAAGGGTAAAATGTTGTTTCTTTCTTGTGTTGAATATTTGTTACACTGGAAAATATTTTGTCTTCTCCAGGTGGCATATCCTTTTTATATACTTTATTAATTAAATGGGAGTCTCCTCATTCACATGAGGAATAGATAGACAGGTGGCTTAAAATTTCTATCAACAGTAGGTTATTCATAACTCAAAAAAACATTATACATATATAAATGCAGCAACTGTTGGTTTAAATTTGTTTTCAGGTTCACACAAACACTGCCAATGATATTTGACAAAAGAGCAAAGGCAATTAAATGGAGAAAGACTAGTCTTCAACAAATGGTGCTGGAACAACTGGATATTGACATGCAAAAAATTGATCTGGACATAGATTTTAAACCTTTTTAAAAATTAACTCAAAATGGATTATGGTCCTAAAATTTAAAATTCAAAACTATGAAACTTCTGGAAGAT